GCACTTATATGAGTCTGATTGTTAAACGTTGCAATCTATGAGAGTAGGGTTCTCTCTAATAAACTCATGAAAGGTCTCGGAGTATGACCAGTGGCGTACCCAGGGGGTGTGCCAGGTGTGCCATGGCACACCCAGATTTTTGGAAGATATTTTTTCACCATGTCAAAATTAGCTTATTTTTAATGCCCATGCAAGCTAATTGCAATAGACTTCAGTTTTCTTAACGTGTGCACATCCTCCATTTTATTTCTAGGTCCGCCACTGAGTATGACGCATACGCTCCACCCGCGGGAAAGACCCACGGTAGCACAATATCGGTCAAGGCTTTGTGTGAAGCTAGATTCGCAGAAAAACTTGCAGTTCAAGACCCAGTCCATTGTTCAAGTTGCTTACTAGTGTAGCACTGAGTTCTAGGTGGAAGTTCAACTTAACAGTCTCTACTGCAGTACAGGTATATAAAACAGTGTTTTGGAACCAAAGGCAAATTTTATGTGCCTCTGGGATCTGGTGGGGGATTGCTGGAATTTTGTCTATTTACGGCCTAGCCCAATAGCAGTTCCAGAAATTCCTAATAAATCCTAGAGGCCCATGCAGCCCATTCGTGCAAGGCAAGAGGTGGAACTAAAGTTTAGTCCCACATTGCTAGTTTAGAGGGAGTTGGACCTTTTTATAAGGGAGGCTCTTTCTCCACATGTATGAGGATGAGAACAAGAGGGACATCCATGCGTGCTCCTCCTCCGCCGCCCGCCTCGCCACGCCATGCCTCATCACGACGCGCCGCGGGTTGCGGGAATGAGGCGAGCCGATGTCTAAATTTTTGTCATGCACGACGGGTATACGAAAGGCCATGCAAAAGCTGAAACGTTTTGCTGTAGTGGAGATTGAATACGAACGGTGCACCTCTTCGCCTGCTGCCTGTTCATTTTGTCTCCCTCGTTCCCTTCAGTTCCCGGTGCATCCTCTCGCCTCCTTCTCTTGCGCCTATAAAAGGGAGGTCGCTCCTCTCAGAGAGATGCACCAGAACTTTTTCTTCCTCTCACCACAAGTTTCTGAGCACTGCGCTGCTGCTACGTTCTTCCCCATCCTGGCTTGCGGCGTGCACCGCAGGTCGGGACAGTAGGCCTCCGAAACCGCACCTCTTCGAGTCCTATATGGGAGAAGGGTGATAAGGTTTTTGGGGAGCGCTTCGCGTGACTACTGACTTCTTCGTCACGGATGCCCCAGACTCCGACGACTACTTCCCCGCCGACGACTTCTTCCCCGACGTCGACAACCTCCTTGACGACATGGCTGGCGAGGACATCGACCCCAAGTCCAGCGCTTCTGCTGCTGCTGTCTCGTACGTGTTCTTCCTCTTTCTATTAGAGGCCCTGCTACAGTTTCTTGTTCTACTGTTTGCCCTAGATATGCTAGACTCTGTTTCATATATGCAACTTGCTATACAGTCTGCTCCAGATGTGTTTAGTTACAGTTCATATATGAAGTTGCTGTTTACCTTCTCTTTGTCAAATCGCATGACTTATTTTATCGCTGCTATACTAGTCGTGCTTTATCTAGTATTTCTATTAATAAAATCATTTGGTAAATTGCTCATATTTCCAACAGACCGATCATGTCATAATATGTACAAAGAACATCAGAGGTAATAAAAATTACAACTAGATTCATGGACCACCTAGCGACGACTACAAGCACTTGAGCGAGCCGAAGGCATTGCCGCCGCCATCATCGCCCTCCCTCATCGGCGCCAAACAATCCTTGTTGTAGTAGACAGTCGATAAGTCGTCGTGTTAAGGCCACATAGGGCCAGCACCCAGAGCAGCAACCATCGCTGATGAAGAAAAGCGTAGATCCGAAGGATCAAACCTGCAAACACTCAAGCGAAGACGAAAGAAGACCGGATCCAAACAGATACACAAAAAACCAGCACCGACCGAATCGCGCGAGATCATGCATCGTTGGATTTTTGCGAATGCCCGACCTGCATTCATCACTGGGTACCATAGAAGAACTCAAAAATTTCGGATTGAGGGAAGAGCGAAAGAATAGTTTGATTGTGATGAAGAGAGGCATACATATAGTAGGTAGAACAAAGATGAAGCATTGCTAACCGCATTTGCTTGTGAGATTCTCAAACTTGGTGCGATGGAGCTAGCAGAACGTAACAACACTACCAGGAGAGCGATGTGCTGTGTCTACCTCAAACTAGCTCTAGAGTTTTCTTGGAAAAACCGGAACGTCGTGGTGGTTACGCTACTCCGTCGAGGTCTCCGGTTGGATGCATGGCCACGTCTTTTCTTTCTCGGCACACATATGCAATCGATCACGACGGAACTGAAGTGACGTCTTCTCGGAATCCATTCAGAATTGATTTATGCTGTGTGAGGATGAGAAATCGGAAAGCGACTCTACCATTCCTCACTCTTGTTTCCCATAAAACTTCGATCTCCTCTCAACTGTTAATGTGGTAAAAAAAACATTAGAAGTAAAATTTACATTTAGTTCATACCTAGCGACGATTATCATCACTAGAGGAAACCGAAGGGGTGCCGCCGTCATAGCCCCTCCCTCGTTGTAGCCGGACACATATTGTTACTCCTTCCGTTTTTATTTACTCTGCATATTCGGTTTGTATAAAGTCAAACTTTATGTACTTTTAACAAGTTTGTAGAAAAATATATTAACATATACACCACCAATTATATATATCATTGGATTCAGTATTTCATATAATTTTTACATCATATAAATTTGTTACTGTAAATGTTCATATTGTTTTCTACAAACTTGATCAAATTTTATAAAGTTTGACTTTAGTCAAACCTAATATGCGGAGTAAATAAAAACGGAAGGAGTGTAATATACAGTCGGAAAGTCGCCGCGCTTGAAGCACCATCGAGACGAGGGCTAGGTGGAAAGAACCTTATTTCATCTTCAAGAAGCCGTCGTCAACGCCTCATCTTCTTGCTCGTGGCAGAAACCCAAACAAAACTTAGAAAATACCTAAAAACGAAGCCATTTAGCCGGCAAGGGCCGGGGTCCACCACGCCTCCATGGTCCATAGGAGATGAGGCAGACCGACTGCGGTGCCAGCGAGAGGCTAGTGTTATTTTGTCTAACTCAACCTCCTAGAAATAGGCTTTCGTCCCGCTTTATAAACAAAGCCAGCTATCTAAAGTAACCTCATCAGTCTGTATAGTTCTTCTATGATTTTATACATACTAGTATTTATATACGTGAGACACACACTGTCCAATTTTTTTAAAATTATGTTTTCTTATTAATCTATCTTTTGTTTCTTCGGATTTACGTAATAGTTTTGCAAGCGGATATCATCTATATCTCGGCGGTGGCGGCGAGAAACCGTGGCACGGTTCAAGTCTTATTGGGTCATGGTCTAGAGATCACTTCGATTGGTTTGAAAACATTCCAAATTATGATGTTAGTTTTCTGGATTGCTAATTATGGTGATTTGATTGATTGATACAATGTTTATGTTTGGAATGCTAATTACGGTGATTCAATTGATTGATTTGAATGTTTCGTTTTTGGAATGCTAATTGCGGTGCTTTGATTGCTAATTATGGTGCTTCAATTGGTACAACATCATTGGAGCAATGTAGGCCTAAGATCTAAGTGAACCAACGTCTGATATTCGATGTTTATGCCACAACTTGCTTGTATAATAGTAGTGGAGATGAAAATGGAGATAGAAAAACAAAAAGATAATCACATACTGGGACGAGATATGAGGAAATTAGACAAAAACTGGAAACAGAAAACAACTGACGTGACACAACGCTGACATATCTAGACCTCAAGCATAAGTGGTTTGATCTTTGATGCGAAAATTGGCAAAATCAAAAGTGGATTTTTTTTGTGAGGACAACATTTGGCGCCAAATATTGGCATCCAACCAATCATGCTCCTCCATGTGTCCGCTACAGGGGAGTACTGAGCTACATCGTCGAAAATGGCTTCAAGAAGGAAATTGTGTTCATTTTGTGAAACAGATTGGTGGTGGGGGCGGCGAGTGCATGGTCATGTACTTTCTGCCGTGAGGAATCAACGTGGGTCACTGCCAACGACGAGGAAGAGCCGAAAGCCAATAAGCTAGTCGGCGTTGCTCGGAGGGGTGGTCCGAAGGTGAAGATAGAGGCGTCGCATCTGGGCGACAGAGATTCCATGGTGTAGGAGGAGAGAGGTCAAGGAGTGGGATGAGTGACAGCAATAGGTAGAGGGTGTGGATAATGACAATGAGTGTGGGGTTGTGGAAAAAGTTCTTCCACAACCTGCGGAATAATGGCTTAACCTGCACAATTGCGCAAGAAGGCATGACAAATGATATTTTTACCATTTCACATGACATCCCGTGCTTGTATTCACCGCCTATCACCAATTCGAGATTTGTGCCTCATCTTCTAGTTTGTGACAAAAATTCTTTGATTTCATAATGTTAGATAATGTTTCATCGCATCATTTTTTTATCATTTCAAAGTATATCATAATGTTTTGTTGTGTACTAACAATTAATAAGAGTGCACTTATTTCAAAGTGAATTTGATAGCAACATAACGAAATATTACGTCACTCTTTGGAACAAGATATGCCCAAAAGAAACATGATGTAATAATTGATAGGTCAAATTTGTCAAAGAAAAGTGTCACTTTATAGTGATCTAAAGGCTCTTACATTTTTTTAAGAAGGAAGTACACGACAAATTAGTCAAAAAATAAAATAGTGACGCGAATCTCAAAACAAATCTCATACTCTCTTCGTTCATAAATATTTGTCTTTTTAGAGATTTCGACAAGTGACTACATACAGAGCAAAATGAGTGAATCTACACTATAAAATATATCTATATACATCCGTATGTGATAGTCCATTTAAAGTCTCTAAAAAGATAAATATTTAGGAAGGGAAGGAGTACGTAATAGTAGAATTATTATCACTCTCAAACCGGCAGAACCTCTAGAAAATTCTCTCGACCGGACAAAATGGCATCGCACTCGCACCAGCACTCTATCGTGCCGTACTGTCGCACACCACAAGATAGCACTCTATCGTGCCGTACTGTACGTACTATCGCAGGCCACACAGCCATGCAGAGCGAGGTTTGGCTGCTATGGGCGACGCTCGCCGCCGCGCTACTCTACTACCTGACCAGCGCAGCCCGCCGCGGGGGCACCGGGGGACGGCAGCCTCCGGGCCCGACGCCGCTCCCGGTCCTCGGCAACCTGCTCGACCTAGGCGGCAACCTGCACCACACGCTGGCGCGCCTCGCGCGCGTCCACAGCCCCGTCATGAAGCTCAAGCTCGGCCTGGTCACCACCGTGGTGGTCTCCTCGGGTGACGCCGCGCGGGAGGCCTACACCAGATACGACCGCCACCTGGCCGCGCGCGCGGTCCCGGACGCCGCCAACGCGGTCGGCAACTCCGGCCGGTCCATGATCTGGCTGCCCAGCTCCGACCCGCTCTGGAAGACGCTGCGCGGCATCGTGGCCTCGCACATATTCTCGCCGCGTGGCCTGGCCGCGGCGCGCGGCGTGCGGGAGCGCAAGGTGCGCGACATGGTGGGCTACTTCCGGCGCCACGCGGGGGAGGAGGTGGACGTGGGCCAGGCCGTGTACGGCGGCGTGCTGAACCTCGTGTCCAGCGCCTTCTTCTCCGTCGACGTGGTGGACGTGGGCGGCGAGTCCGCGAGCGGGCTGCGGGAGGTCGTGGAGGACATCATCGCGGCGCTGGCCAAGCCCAACGTCTCCGACATCTTCCCTTTCCTCCGGCCGCTCGACCTGCAGGGTTGGCGTCGCTGGGCGGGGGCGCGCTACCAGAAGGTCTTCGGCATACTTGACGGAATTATCGACCGCCGTCTGGCAGATGCCCGGACGTCCACAGGCGAGCACGCCCATGGCGACTTCCTGGACTCGCTGCTGGAGCTCGTTTCCGCAGGCAAGATCGGTCGCGACAAGGTGACGGTCATACTGTTCGACGTGTTCGCGGCCGGGACCGACACGATGGCCATCACGGTGGAGTGGGCGATGGCCGAGCTGCTCCGGCACCCGCGCGCCATGGCCAAGGTGCGCGCGGAGATGGAGGACATCCTCGGCGGCAAGGACACGAACACCCTCGAGGAGCCCGACGCGGCGAGCCTGCCGTACCTGCAGGCCGTGGTGAAGGAGGTGATGCGGCTGCACCCGGTGGCGCCGATCATGCTGCCGCACCAGGCCGCGGAGGACGGCGTGGAGATCGGCGGCTTCGCCGTGCCCAGGGGCGCCACGGTGATCTTCAACGTGTGGGCAATCATGCGGGACTCGGCGGCGTGGGAGAGGCCCGACGAGTTCGTGCCGGAGCGGTTCCTGGATAAGTCGGCGGCGGTGGAGTTCCGGGGCAAGGACTACGAGTTCATCCCGTTCGGGTCCGGCCGGCGGCTGTGCCCCGGCCTGCCGATGGCGGAGCGGGTCGTGCCGTTCGTGCTGGCGTCGCTGCTGCACGCGTTCGAGTGGCGGCTCCCGGGCGGCGTGGCGGCCGACGAGCTGGACGTGGCCGAGAGGTTCACCACCGTTAACACGCTCGCCGTGCCCCTCAGGGCCGTCCCCGTCGTGGTCACCTAGCTTCTAGCCTTGCGTATGCAATGCATGCAATCTTATCTTGTATCGTGCGGACGAGATGCGCCCCCTTTACACTGTATCGGAAATCACGAGGTCTACACTAGCTAGCTGCTCATGAAAATCCAGTAGCCAGACATTCCTAAGACGTCGCGTCGGTCGTCTGTGGCCGCTTTGGATTGCCTGCCACTCGCCACTGCTGCCTCTCATCTGATATGTCGTCGATAGGTTGGTTAATAGCACATCACATCGCTCTAGATCTTACAAGATTTGGTGGAGTGTGTTACTCTCTAAGTTTCTTTAACTATATTATTATGATTGATGCCCCGAACGCATATTGTCTGGCCAAATTCATTTTGAACCTTAGCGCTGTCATCTCCGCTGTTTAACGCATCAACACAGAAACTGATGTTGTTGCTCGCTGCAACAAATCTTCCATTACTATCTGGCAACACAGCACCAACCGCATCCTTCAGAGAATCAACATCAAAATTCATTTTAACATAGTTCACAATCAATAGCTAAACGCCAGTCGCCTGAAAATCCGATTTGGGTCAGTCGATTTTCGCTAAAAGAAAGGAGGCGCCCGAG